TGCATGCACACGCGCCCGGCGTGAGTTTTAAGCCCCCGGGTCCGGGACACGACCCTCGGTCGACTACGTGGGAGTCCAGCGACATAGCCATTACGCCAACTGCTGGTCCCATTATTTATTTTATTTTTAATTTGACCAGAGAGAGAGACAGACAGAAAGTAAGTGACAAACCAGGTCAGTCCCTGAACCATGGTTGGCTATGTCAGAGTCCAGCATCTTAACAACCACTGCTGACCCCCCAGAATTACTTCTTTTTTTTTCCAATTTTATTTATTCATCATTTACTTTTTAACTTGACCAAAGGGAAACAGAGGGAGAGAGAGGGAAAGTGAGAAAGCAAGCCGCCATGTCCAGGATTCAAACCATGGTTGGCCATGTGGGTATGTCCAGCACCTCAACCACCACGCCACCTGCTGGTCCCCCAGAATTACTTTTTAAACATCCTTTCTTTAAACCATTTCATCAGCAGCCACATTTTTAAGACAGTTGTTATGCGTGTGTAAGGCGAAACTTCCTGTGTGCTGTTTAAGGTTAGAGATCTGAGCCTCCCACCTTCCCTTCCCTTTTGACTTCTTTCTTTCTCTACGAAGATACATAAGGTAAATTTTTTCGTCTACGGATTGTATTGATAAATACTTCTTAACATTTATTTCTCTTACAGGTTGCCAAGAGCAATCTGGTACTAGGTAGTAATGACATTAAAAAGTCGCCTTCCCCCCCAGGGCGGATTTCTCACTTTCCCTCTCGCTGTCTCTGTCTCTGTGTCTCTCTCTTCAGCAAGCACGTATGTTTTATGACAAAAGCCTCTAAAAAAAAATTGCAGGGCGCCGGCAGGTGGCATGGTGGTTAAGAGCGCTGGACTCTCACGTGGCTGACCGCAGTTCAAGTCCTGGACTCGGTGGCTTGCTTTCTCTCTTTCTGTCCCACTGTCCCTCTCTGGTCAAATTAAAAATAAATAAATAAGCAAAGAAAGAAAAAAAGTTCGTTCAATAGGATCATTCTTTTTAAGAAAAATCTCCTTCTACTTCTGTTCCTCTCCGAGTTGTTTCCTGTCTCTGATAGCACTCACCTTGGGCTAGCAGCCCATTTTTTGCGCCCTCAAGGTTCTATGGAGAACTGTATTACATTCACTGATAGTGATGAAGGGCTTTGCTGGGGCTCGTCCTGGGGACGCTGTGTCCTAACCTCCCAGCTGGGCCGCATACTAGGGTGACAGTGTTCTCTTTCATTGCAGAGATAAACTACTGTCAAATAACCTGGAATTCCTCCTGCAAAATGGAAAGCCTGGGTTTATGATTCTATGCTTTCTTTTCTTTTCTTTTGCTATGGGGTGCGTACACTCGCCAGAGAGAGACAGAGAGACAGACAGATAGTAAGCAAGAAATCACCCCCCAGAGGGGATGGCCACGCCGCAGTCTCCTCTCCTCCATTCTCCTCTTGGGATCTTGGGCACGCACGCTCATGCGCCCGGTGTGAGTTTAAGCCACCGGATCCGGGACTTGAATCACGGTTGACTACATGGGAGTCCAGCGACATAGCCGTTACGCCAACTGCTGGTCCCTCTTTTCTCTTTCAAAGTTGTAACTATCAGTGGCTCAAGGAGATGAATTTCTAGGACATAGGGTGTTTGAGGATCTAAACAGGCTAAGTACTTGAAAAGGAAGGGATGCTGAGTGGCCCGCTGGGTGGAATGCACACACTCCTGGATGTGCATGTTGCCTGCGTTATAATCAACCCCCAGCTGCCTTTCGTGCAGCTTCCACAGTTAGCAGCTTTTTCTTGGTGATTTTAGGAATTTATCTACTGCTGGGGAAGTCAGGAGATGTTATTATTTCAAAACCCGAAGCTGGCTCTGTGACCTAGCTGCAGCGTACAGATCCAGAGGGACTGGACCCCACACAGTGACTCGTTTGAATCTCTGGCTGAGTCAGCCTGAAGCGCACTGGACATATGCACAAGTGCCCAAGATCTGAGGGGCGGGAGGACGAGCGGTAGAGGGGGCTGGGGCACCTTGCAGTATGACCAGACCTGAGGGAGGGTGCTTATGCCTTTCTCTCATTGACACGCACACTCACCCCTGCTCTCGTGGACACACACGCATGCCTTCATGAATAAAGGAGAAGGTGAAAACTGAAGCTGAATGCAGTTCCTCATCCAGGTGCGCTGGCGCCTCAGCATGGCGAGGTACTCCTCATCAGAGCAGTCTAACTCCTACTGATGCGTTCGGGGATCTCACGAGCTGAGGTGCTGGAGGAGGAGAAGGTGGTTTAATGAAGACCTTTGTCACCGTTTGAGGCCTTTCTCCTGAGCGGTTGAAGTAGCTTATTTCTGGCCTCGCCCATCTGTTTTGCGCACTTTCACTGAGATCCTTCTAAAGTGGAAATATTTTTTACTTTTTTATTTTGTAGAATTTTTTGCCTTAAGGCACGTGTGTTCACCAGAGAGAGAAACAGTGAGAAGGAGAATGAGAGATCACCTCCCAGAGAGGGTGGCCATGCCCCACTCCCTTCTCCGTGCTCCCCTTGGGATTTTGGGCACGCATGCACATGCACCTGCTGTAAGGTTTTTTTTCGGAGGGGTTTTGCTATAGGGTGCATGTGTTCACTAGAAAGACAGAGACACAGACAGAAAGTGAGAAATCACCCCAGTAGGGCAGATGGCCACACTGCAGTCCCTTCTCTTTTCTCCTCTCGGGCTCTTGGGCATACATGCACATGCACTCAGTGTGAGTTTATGCTACCAGGTCCGGGACTTGAACCACTGTCAGCTACGTGGGAGTCCAGCGACTTAGTCAGTATGCCAGCTTCACCTGGTGTAAGTTTCAAGCCTCCAGGTCAGGGACTCGAACCACACACTTGGCTATGTGGGAGTCCAGTGACATAACTGCCATGCATCTGCTGGCCCCATCAGATATTTCCTTCTATGGCCGCCTCACTCCCACCTTGTAGGCTGGAATCCCTTCTCCATTAGCCATTGCCTGGGACCCTTTGAAATCCAGGTTCTGCCTGGTCACTTGCCTCATCTTGGATCACATCTGTCATCACACCTCTCGTGCCCCTGCCCAAGGGCCAAGAGATAGGGTACCCGAGGGAAAGGGCTGTGGTGTGAGAAAGGACAGATCAAAGCAGGAGTCCAACGACTGGCTCTGCTGGAGGGTGCGGCTGCAGCCGGTCAGTGCTCATTCTTTACAGGGAAGGCCAGAGCTTTCGCATGCCTGCAGCGCTAGCACAAAGAGTGTATCTGTGGGACCAGCAGTTGGTGTAATGGCTATGTCGCTGGACTCCCATGTAGTTGACTGCAGTTCGAGTCCCGGACCCAGCGGCTTGAACTCACGCTAGGCGCATGTGTATGCGTGCTCCCGAGAGGAGAATGGAGGCGAAGGGATTGAAGGTATTGTGGCATGGCCATCCCCCCTGGGGGGTGATTTCTCGCTTTCTGTCTCTCTGTCTCTCTCTGTCTTTCTGGTGAGCAAACATGCCCTATAGCAAAAAACCTCTCCAAAAAAAGAAAATAAAAAAAGAGTGTATCTGTGTTAAGGCGCTCCCTGCGCTCCTGGGCTCTACACCGTAACACAGCTTACGTCCTGCCATGTCTGTCCACGCCCGCTGCCACTCGTCCCGCCTGCCTCTTCTGACTTGTCAAGGCTCTTTCAGAAACAGCCGGATCACCTCCCTGGGGCCACTCTCGCCCTACCCGTTCTCCTCACTGGTGGCCAGCGATCTTCTTGCAGTGAGTAGGTCGAACCCTTCCTTTCCACATTCTTGATCGTGCCGGCCATGCCCTGCCATGGACTTGGCTGGCCCTTGGGGCTGTGTCATCTGTCCTGGCTCCGTCTTTGCCCCTGGCTCTCGCTCCTCCAGCACAGGTTCTGGCACAGAGGAGACCTCGGTGCTTGTTGGAGGCACCATGAGGACATTGACCTTGGGCTGTATTTGCTGCAGACTCTTCCTCGGCACCCTGTTCATCCTGCTCATCCTGTTTATGTCTTTGTTTGGTGAAGGTCTTTTTTTCGGTGGGGGGGACCTAGAGACTTTATGTAGACTTTTGGTAAGTTTTCTGTTTTTGGCACATTTCACCCATAACTTGGCTGTTCTTTAAAGTTTTTCTTTTCTTTTCTTTTCTTTTTTTTTTTTTTTTTGAGTTTTT